CTTGCATGCATGAGGCCCTGGGTTCGATTCCTCAGCACCACATAAGCAAAAAGAAAAAAGCCGGAAGTGGCGCTGTGGCTCAAGTGGTAGAGCGCTACCCTTGAGCTGAGGGACAGCGCCCAGGACCAGAGTTTAGGCCCCACAACGGGACCCAAAAACAAAAACAAACAAAAAAAAACAAAAAAACAAAACATAAAAAACAGCCATACAGTGGCTGATGTCTGTAATCCTAGCTACTCAGGAGGCTGAGATTTGAGGATCACTGTTCGATGCCAGGAAAGACTATGAGATTCTTATCCATGGAAAGCCAGAAGTGGAGCTGTGGCTCAAGTGGTGGAGCACTAGCCTTGAGCATAAAAGCTCAGGGACAGAGCCCAGGCCCCTAGTTTAAGCCCCAGGACTGACACACACAAAAAAAGAAAAGCCACCATACAGAGGAAAAGGACAGGAACAAACTTGTGACTTGACAATTACTTTAATGATGTAAGTTTTGGCTGCCAACTTAATTTACAAAGTTAGACTAATCAATATGAATCCAAGCTATTCATTCCTCTAGCTTTAAAATTCATAGCACATTGTGATACACTGAGAGAATGAACTATTATTCACAAATGAACAGATTAGAGTCACATGGATAACCACTGGTTTGGGAATTATGTCAAATAAGTAAGCAATGTATAGAAACACACAAGCAATGAGATACATTTATATAAAGTTGCAAACATGCTGTTTGATACATTGTTCCCAGCTTTCCTAGGTGTACTGGAGATATAAAGTAATCTAGTGAATGACAAACACTAAATTAGGCATAGGGCTTGCCTGGCAAGAGAGGAAAAAAAGCAGGAGAGAATTAGGATAGAAGTCAGGTGAATGCTGACACAGATATGCAGGAAGCTGAGATCTGAGATCCAAGAATCTCAGGCAAAAAAAGTCTGTGAGACTCTTATCTCCACTGACTTACTAAAAAAGCTGGCAGTAGAGCTATGGCTCAAGCATAGCCTTGAGCAAAATGAAGGTCTGGGACAGAGTCTAAGTCCTGAGTTCAAGTCCCAGGACCTGCACAGAAAAGCAACAAACCAAATGAAACATAAAAATTGAGAATAAAAGTATTCACAGGAGAAATAAAGTGCAATAACTATGTCACAGTGTACATCGTGTTTGCATTACTCTAAGTCAGGTAAGTCCTAAAAGTGAAGAACAAGTTTTCACGATGACAATACCTTTTCGATAGTCATGAGATTTGAAGATACCAGAGATGCCACCAATCCTCACACCTCGGTATTTCACCACACCTGCCAAACCTGGAAAATTGTGCAGTGAAATAAAATTACTGCTGGACTACAGAGGCTCAGGCCTGCAAGCTACTCAGGAGGTTGAAATCTGAGGATAACATTTCAAAACCAGCAGGGCAGTGAAGTCTATGAGATTCTTATCACCAATTGATGACCAAAAAGCCAGAAGTAGAGCTGTGGCTCAAGTGGTAGACGGCTAGCCTGGAGCACAAAAGCTCAGGGATACAGCCCAGGCACTGAATTCGAACCCCAAGTCTGACAGTAAGTAAGTAAAGAATAAATACAATTATCATAGACAAAGGCAATTGCTTTTCTAAGGGAAAAGCAGGGGCCTGGAATTTTATGCAGTCCTACATAACTATGTCAAGTAAATTTTCAGGATAAAATTAATGATAAAATTGACATTGTGAAAACACTATTTACCTCAAGATGCTGCCTATTAATACAAATTCCAACAAGCCCTTCTATTTCTTCAAAGCAAACTATGACACATGATCACATACCTAAATAATAAATGTTTGGTGCCACCCAGCCACCGTAGGGCAACTCTTGCAAATGATTTGAAGCTTCATGGTTTCCGCCAATGAAGATGGTGAGAACCGGGGCCTTTTTCTCTCCAGAATAATACCTAGAAACAGAAAGGGAAAATTCTCAGTTGGCAAATCAAGCAGAGATGTAAAATAATGTCTAGAGGACAAAGCTGACCTCATTCAAAAATGGTGTAAAGCTCTCTGTAAAGGTCTCCTGTATCCACCCTTATGCTTAAGAATAAAGGGGTTAGCAGGGCACCGATGGCTCACATCTGTAATCCTAGCTACTCAGGAGGCTGAGATCTGAGGATCACAGTTCAGAGCCAGCCCAGGCAGGAATGTCCAATAAACCGCTAGAAAAACCGGAAGTGCCGCTGTGGCTCAAGCAGTAGAGCGCTTGCCTTGAGCTGAAGAGCACAGGAACAGTACCCAGGCCCAGAGTTCAAGCCCCACGACCGACCAAAAAAAAAAAAAGAAAAGAATGAAGGGGTTATAGGCTATAAGGTTATAGGCTGATGCCTATAACCCTAGTTACTCAGGAGGTTGAGATCTCAGGATCGAGGTTCAAAGCCAGACCAGAAATTAACTGTAAAGAAACAGGAAGTGGAACTATGACTCAAGTGGTAGGGCATCAATCGGCCTTGAAGCAGAAAAGGGACAGCGCCCCCCCCAAGTTCAAGTCCCAGCACACACACACACACACACAAGTTCAAGTCCCAGCATACGCACACACAAATTCAAGTGCCAGCATGAGCACACACACACACACACACACACAAGTTCAAGTCCCAGCAACCACACAAGTTCAAG